TGTTTTGGGCCAAAATGCTCTGTTCTTGATGCCAATAATGGATTGTGTCAGTGGAATGATTGCCAGTCACCTGACTATTTGTCACTGCATTTGGCATTTAACCCTAAGCATAAACATTGCTGTCATGAACGTAGCTATCCAGGATTTTTGGTAAGTAAGTACTAAACCTCTCACTGACTTGAGGGATTCAGAAGCACCAAGTGTGTAGTTCACCACAGCACTATTGCAATAGCCAAAGATAACAAGAACTGGCTATCCAGTTAATTACACAGTAACAATCACAACCATTTCCCAAGCAAGTGCTAGGAGTGGAATATATCTGAATGCAGAGAAGGCGAAGCCAGACATCTTTTGATCTCTGAGAGGTACTGGTCAGATCTGAGAAACAGAGGGATAAAAGCAAAGACTAGACCAGGGGATGAAAGAAGGAAACCACTGATTTACATTCATGGTCAGCTGATTTTCTCAGCTTTACTTCCCCCTAGCTCTTAGCCTTAGGCACTTAACATGAAATGATACCACACAGGAGTGGTCTTGAATGGACCCTGAAAAGAGTAAGACTGTCCCAGAGTTCCTCATTCTGTGGGGCCAAGAAGGCAGCAGCTCTCAGATGGAGTAGCTCACTTCCGTGGCCTCAAGACAACTGCAAGAAATAGCAGGGAAAGAAGTAACTGAGCAAAGCTTCTCCTTCTCCTTTTCCTTTTTTTTTTTCTTTTTCTTTTTTTCTTTTTTGTTCTCCTCGTAAGCTTGCTCCTCTTCTCTGACAGGCACTTGAAGATGAGTGTTTTCACCCTGAGCCAGAGATGGCATGCAGGAAAGAGGCCAAAAACTGTGTCTAGGGTGAAGATCTCTCAATGCAGCTACTGGATGGCTGCCTACTTCTTTCCATACTTTTCATTCCCTGTGCATTGGTGAGGCAAGTTGGGCTGAAGGCATGAGCTGTGCCTCCTTCACTGGCGGCACACATACATTTTCATCTTTGGGGTCAATTCAAGATCGTCAGCTTCAGGAAGACTGCTCTGGGGTATTCCCAGAGTAAGGAGAGGAGTTGGAAGGAATCTTCAGAGTTCATTGCGTCCAACTTCTTGACTACTTCAGAGCTAGCCAGAAGTTCAAAGCACATTCTTAATGGCATCATTCAGATGTCTCTTGAACACTGAAAGACATGGGGCATCAACACCATCAAAGTCATGACAGGTACACCAGGGAAGTTAGCACACATACAGAGTGTAAAGCAGGTGACCACAAGGATGAGAAATTCTGGAACTTTGGGAGTAGAAGTACAGAGAAAGTGACAATACGAAGTGACAATAAACCAGGAACTGGCATGCAAGGGTTGGGGAGAGATAGATTAGATAAGACTTGACCTGATAATTCTACGCTTGTCAGAAAGAGATTTATTTTTTGGAGATGCATGTGTTATACTTTGGATGCAGGGACTCAATGTGTCATTAAAAGAAGGATATGCAGAAGGCCAGAGAGGATGAATGTATGAGAGAAAGGGAGAGGGAGACAGAAGTAAGGGAGGAAGCACTTTGAGAAAGATGACTCAAAACTGTCAGCTCAGAGAACTGCTTTGAGGAGTGGACAGAGACACATTAAAGTCTTCAAAACCTAAACACTAGCTGACTGAGCTCTTGGGAATTCAAAGGTGCAATCAGTATACTTTTTAGTACAAGATGGACATGGAATCCCAATACAAACCATCACAGGAGGAAACTACTGTCCAGTACATCTAAACAATCAGTAAAGATGGTAAAAACCCAGGGAAGGATGACATGGTTGATAAAATGTACTAACTAGCTTCCGTATGTGGAGTAATTAAACAAAGACTCTTCAGCCTAAGGGATAACATGATAGATGCCTGTAAAATCACAAGTGGCATGAACATGGTAAATAGGAAATAACTACACATTATTTGCTTTTGCATACAAGCAGGAAGGCATCAAATGAAAAAACAGGAAGCATTTTGCAAGCAAATGAAAAGGTAGCTTTCCCCTTTCTTAACTCATAGTAAAGTCAGCTAACCCCTAGCCACAGGATGTTGTGGGATACCACAAGTTAACTTGCATTTAAAAATTCATGAACGAATTCACAGAAGAAAAATCCATCAGAGCTATTAAAAACAAAACCTCATCTCTGGCTCGGGAATTACCCGAGCCACAGATTCCTGGAGGCTGAAGAGTGTTTTGAGGAAGTCTCACTACTTCTGCCTTCTTCCCACACCCATCTTAAGTCATCTGGCCTTGGCTGTCCTACAAAATGAGATACTTGGTTAGGGATGGAACTTCAAGCTTAACTCAGCCCATGGTTGTGTGGTAACAGCAAATATAAGACAAAGAAAAATGTGATTAGAGTCATAGAATCATAGAATCCTTAGAGTTGGAAGGGACCTTTACAGGTCATCTAGTCCAACTGCCCTGCAACGAACAGGGACATCTACATCTAAATCACACTGATTAGAGCTCCGTCCATCCTGATCTTGAATGCCTCCAGGAACAAGGCATCCACCACATCTCTGGCCAACCTGTTCCAGTGCCTGTCCACCCTCACAGTAAAAACCTTTTTCCTTATATTCAACCTAAATTTACCCTCTTTAAGTTTGAAACCGTTTCCCCTTGTCCTGTCACCACAGATCTTGCTGAAGAATCCATCCCCTTCTTTCCTGTAGCTCTCCTTTAGATACTGAAAGGCCACTATCAGGTCACCTTGGTGCCTTCTCTTCTCTAGTCTGAACAGCCCCAGCTCTTTCAGCCTGTCTTCATGGGAGGGATGTTCCATCCCCTGCATCATTTTTTGAGGCCCTTCTCTGAAGGCGCTTCAACAGGCTTATGCCTCTTCTGAAGTGATGACTCCACCCTGGATGCAGTACTCGAGGTGAGGCCTCACCAGGGCAAATAGAGGGGCAGCACCTTTCAACACTCAGCTTTTATTGGTAGTGGGGTTGCCTCGACCCAGATCCAAGACGTTGCACCTGTATTTGTTGAACCTCAAGAGGCTCTCCTGGGCCCACTGCTCAAGCCTGTCTAGGTCCTTCTGGATGGCATCCTGTCCCCTGGGCATGTCAACTGTACCCTACAGCTTGGCAACATCCACAAACTTCCTGAGCGTACACTTGATCCCACTGCTGATGTAATCGATGAAGATATTAAAGAGTATTGGCCCCAGCACCAACCCCTGGAGGACACCACTTGTCACTGATCTCCATCCAGACACTGAGCTATTGACCACCACTTTTTGGATTCAGTCCCACAGCCAGTTCTCCGTCCACTGACAAATCCACTCATCAAATCCATATTTTTCTAATTTTCCCAATTGTGGGGTACTGTGTCAAAGGCCTTACTGAATCCCAGATAGATGACATCAGTGGCTCTTCTCTTGTCCATTGATGCAGTTACATCATCACAGAAGTCCACTAGGTTGGCCAAACAAGATTTTTCCATGGTGAAGCTGTGCTGGTTCTCTTGTATCACCTCTCTGCCTTCAATGGGCCTTAACATAGCTTCCAGGAGGATCTGCTCCATGGCCTTTCCCAGCACAGAGACGAGATCGACAGGCTTGGTAGTTCCTGGGTTCATCCTTTTACCCTTCTTAAAAATGAGTGTGATATTGCCTTTTTTCCAGTCACCAAGGACTTCATCTGACTGCCATGACTCTTCAAATATCATTAAGAGTGGCTTGGTGACTACTTCAGCCAATTCCCTCAGAACTCTGGGATGTATCTTATTCCTGTGGAATAAGTGAAGAAACTCCATGTGTTATAAGCGGAGTCAAGCCCAGAATTTAGAAAATCTGACAGAGCATTACCCATTAACTGGAAATAAGATATGCCAATCACGCAGTCATGAAAGCACCACTGAACAATAAAGGAGTCGGAGTTTCATTTCAAAACTGGTATATTTGAACATCTGTGATACTTATAAGGCTGTAATGGGCTGGAAAGACAAGACTCCTTGTCTCTTCTGTGACTTATGTACTTGCAATGTCTAGCCTCAGAAAATCGTTAAGTACTGGCACTAAGGACAAGGCAACAACAAACGTATTTAAAAGAGAATATGTAGCAACCTGTGTGGAGCTTGAAGGGAAGAATCCAGGCTGCTGTCAGTCAGGGATAGAGAGAGCAGCAGGAAAGTCAGTATGTGCTGGGGAATGCTAGCTGCAGCACAGTAGTTTTTTCCCTTTCTCTTCTACTATAAAGTTTTCAGTACCATTCTGATAGTCACAAGGCTCATTCCAGTACCTTGTCTAATGCCTTCTGTCTGTGCTTTCTTTGGCTGCTGATTTCCTTTAGGTGAGAGAACTCTTCTTGAAATCGAGTATTGACTACTCTCCTTATCTCCCCCATATCTTTAAACCAGTTCCACTTCTTCACTTGTACTTAAGAGTGGTTAGCTACTCATTGCTTCAGCCTTTTTTTTTTTGTACCAGACAAAGCTGCTTTTATTTTGTCTTTTAAGAAAGAAATGAGTTCTAGTTTAAATCCATCATTCTTCACCAAGGCCAGAACTGTACCTGGTTTACCCTTCTGGATCTCATCTGTGCCTTTTAAAATAATACTAGAACTTCCCTATCTTTACGGTAGTTATCTTTCCTGATGTAGTTTAAGCTTGTTTCTTACCTCCTGGGCTCCTTCAGATGACACGAACACTTATTTTCACAATGTAAACCCAAATCCCAGGCCTTTTTTTTCCTCTCTCACAGGAAAATCAATGAGAACCAGCCTAGAGCAGAAATTTGTAGCTTTAGCTCTTCAGGTGCTTCACTTCACAAATAGTCCAGCCCTCAGGGTCATGCAAATCTTCACATCATATCTAGGTTTCTCCTTCCTTTGGCAGCACTTCCCATCTTGAAGAGCAAATTTCATTAGCATGCAGCTGAGACAGCATCATTAACAAAAATATTCTAGGAGGTAAAAATTCTTTGCAGACATCTACTTGTGTTCTCTCACCAGCTGTTCTTTACTCATCAGTACTGGCCATCCCTATATACCCTTTACTCACCTTGAAGATTCAATATTAAGTCATCTGTTGCCTCTTTAGTGCTTATCTTCGCATAATCTGTAAGAGATTTTCAGAGAAGTACATGTAAACTATATCCACAGATTACAAAATATAGATACCAGATTATCCTGGCATGACAAAATTTGATACACCTAGCTTCAATTTAGTTATTTTCCCCACCATTTACGATTGTCCTTATCTTTAAAATATACAGCCTAAAATGCTGCATATTATGGAGGTGAGCCTAGAAGGTAAGTAAACGCCCCAAATCAAAATTCCTCTCTTTCAAGAGCATTAAACATGTGCTTTCAATTTACTAGAAATATTAAATACACTTTCAGAGTAATGTGTCATTTATTGTTGTTGACTACCTGGCAATAGCGTTTTTAAAGATTTACTACATTTTGTCAAATTTATTAACATCTTTGTTGGTGACACAGACAGTGGGACTGAGTGTACACCCAGCAAGTTTGCAAATGACCCCAAGTTGTATGGTGTGGTCAGCATGCAGGAGGGAGCTGATGCCATCCAGAGGTACCTGGACAGGCTTGAGAGGTAGGCCTGAGTGTACTTCATCGAGATCAGCAAGACCAAATGCAAGATGCTGCACCTGGATCAGGGCAATCCTAAGCACAAATACAAGCTGGGTGACAAATGGATAAGAGAACAGTCCTAAGAAGAAGGACTCGGGGATGCTAATTGCTGAGAAGCTCAGCGTGAGACAGCAATGTGCACTTCCAGTCCAGAATACCTTGAATATCCTGGACTACTTGAAAAGAAGTGTGACCAGCAGTGTGAGAGAGGCGATTCTGACATTTTGCTCTGCTTTTCTGCAACACTGCATTCAACTCTAGAGCTCCCAGCACAAAAAGGATATGGACCTGTTGGAGCAGGTTCAGAGGAGGCCAAGAGGGTGACTGGAGGGCTGGAGCCTCTCGTATGGAGACAGGCTGGGAGGACTGGGGTTGTTGATTCTACAGAGGAGGAGGATCTGGGAAGACAGTAGTTAAAGGGGCCTAAAAGAAAAGATGGGGAGGGACTTTTTACAAAGGCATGTAGTGGTAACAAAAAGGATAATGGCCTTAAACTGAAGGAAGGAAGAATTAGACTAGATATAAAGAAAAAAAAACCTTTATTCAAAGGGTGGTGAGACACTGAAACAGGCTGCCAAGAGAAGCTGTGAATGCCCCCATCCCTGAGGTGTTAAAAGCCAGGTTGGATGGGACCTCAGGCAATCTGATCTAGTGGGAATTGTCCATGCCCACTAGCAGAAGGTTTGGAACTATATGGTCTTTAAGGTCCCTTCCAACCCAAACCATTTTGTGGTTCTATGATTTTATGAAATTACTTTGCACATGACCTGCAAATTCATGTGCCTGTACTTTCAACATTCATAAATGGAGATATTCATTCTCCTCATTTATAAAATAACAAGTATTTTGAATTTTGCTTCACTTCATTTTGATTTTTCCGAATCCTCACTCCTATTTGTCATCGTGACCACCAGCACTTTTATTTGAAAATGGACGTCACGTATTTATTTGGGTTTTTTTGAGCTATACTTTGGAAATAAAATCCCCGCCATACCCTTGCTTCACAGAGCATTCCAGCTTTTTTCCCCACTCTCTTCTTTTTTTTTTTTTCCCCCTTGGTCTGTTTTTATGTCTATGACTGAAGAACTTCTTGCTGCTTGCTTTGATCTTCTTTTGAAGGTACAGCTCAGCCTGACTCCTAGCAATTCTTACTTTGTCTCTAAACTTCCTGACTTCCAAGACACAGCTTTCTCTGCTGGCTGATCCTTTTTTCCACCACTTGTAACCTCCCTGCATACTCTTAATATCCCCTTTGAGAAGTTTTTTTCATCCAGTTAGGCTGGGGCCTTTTTTGGTGAAACTTTTGCCCCCTCCTTGTTGGGATCCAAGATACAGATATTTTTATGCTTTTCACTGGAGAAATTCCAAACTTTCTCCACGTTCAAATCCTTGCATCCTTCATGACAGTTGAATTCACGAATCATTTCCTTTAAAATTTATCATATCGACATTTCAGAGTACGTAACATTACGTAGTCCTTTATGCATTTAAATCACTAGTATCACTAACTTTAGCTGCAGCTGTGAATGCTCAGCATTACTGCAAACCAGACCCTAGAGTCTCCTGTCAGGACCCCAGAAATGAGGAATGCACAGTTAGTGACCACCTGTGGAAAAGTGTGATCCCTGGCAAAGCAGAGAGACCGAATGGTAGAGGGAAAGATAAAAAAAAATCTACACAATCTACACGAGCCAGTGTTCAACAATCACAGAATGCACGGGTTGGCATTTTTCATCCTACAATCCCCTCGTTCCATCACTATACATCTCACAGTTTTTGTAACAGATAATGAAGACAATACCTTGCACCAGTACTCATTTCTGAGTCACTCCCAAAGAAGGTCAGGGAGTAGGTGCCCCGTGGGAAAAAACAGAAGAATTAATGCATATTCCTGCAATTAAAGATGGTATCAGAGAACAAATTTATGGGATAGGATAGGGAAATGTAATCACGATTGAAGGGTTCAGAAGGGTTTGGAAAGTTTGAAACTTTCAGATGCTTAAATGAACAGAACTCTCAAAGTATAATTTTTCGTGAGATTTATCTTTAAAAAAATATTTGTAGTAAGCAAAGTGAAATAACAGAGTTCCATCGTGTAACTACTTGAAAAGCACAACACTGATGACCATAGGAATTTTCCACACAGATCTAAGAAATTTAGTTTAATGGGATAGCTCATAAGTTGTTGACCTCCCTACTGGCAACACTGATGTAGAGTGACACACTCTGTGCTAGTTTATAAGCAAATATCTGTTGACAGCAGAGGAACCATGAGATCTAAATATCACATGTACTGTTCCATATTCCTAGGCTATTCATCTATCCCATGTTGGCATTACTCCTCCTCTCTCACCTTCCCCAACAGATTTGCCTTACTTACCGCCTCCCTGCTGTTGACTCAGCATCCCAATTTCATGTTTCTCAAGAAACTTACTGATCCCAGCATGTTTCCCTCCTTGTCTAACACATCTGGGTTCTCAGTCCTTTTATGCATAGAGTTACTTTTCCTCAGCCAGTCTCATTGTCCAGACTGCCTGAATTCGCATTCTATTTTGTAGTTTCTTACCTACTCATTCTTGCCACTCTGTGATAAATTTTACTGACCTTCTGCCTATTTATGTTGCCATACCTCCCTTTCCTGCGTTCCCACACGTAGGATAGAAGCAGTCTTCATACTTATCTTCTCATCAGCTGTGTGCCCTCAGATCTTTACCCAGCCAGCTACTTCCAGTTTTCTCCTGCTCTCTGATCTCAGTTTCTCCTTTAGCACACTTTTCCCTCCCTCTATCCTTCCCCTGCCCAGCCATCTTCTGACCCTGTTTACATTTCCCAGCTGGCACTAAATTACTCCGCTGCATGATCTGCTGTCAGTTCCCCTTTTTGTCCTGGTGGATCCTGCTCTCTCCAAATCTTTCCTCTACCTGACGTATTCCCCCTTTCTCCAGGTAGTCTTAATTTGAAGAACAGCTTCTGATGGTGATTGTGACAAATCATTTTATATATTTGGGACCAGAGGTTTTATTTTAATAAATTCTAAATATTTTGTTCTGTTTTGTTTTTAATATGTTCAATCTATGTCCCAGTATACTGGTAATATTCCGACGTTTGGTGTTAGAAATGTGTGCATCAAGTCCTCTACACCTTTCCATTCTTTCTCCTCTCTTTCACTAAGATGGGAACAGCTCAACCATTCTGCCAGACAGGAAAAAGTTGTTGTACTTTTCTTACGTGACTCATTACAGTGAAATAAACTTGAACAGAACATCATGAGCAGAAACTTGGAATTCTGAATGTAGAGATAAACTAGGATATTGTGAGAGAAAGAGAGGAAAATATTTTTCATGGAAAATTTACAAACCCACAGCAATCATAGAAACTAGTGCAGCTCTATGGATACAGCTGAACTGAACAGGACTCATTTCTTTGATAACTCTATATTTCAAATCAAGCAAGTCACCTCACATCAGCTTCTAACAGCTTTTCAGATAGGTTTTATTTTTACATAGGATGCCTTGTGAGTACTATCGTACTAACTAGGGTGAGAGGTGACAGACTGCAACAATACCCAGTCTCATTTATACTTACCAGCCATAATTAGCTTCAGCAGTGCCACAACCAATACCTCAGACTTAGAGTTTCCCTTCCCATAGTCTGTCTGTTTTGGCACTGTGTGTAGAGCTAGTTGGTATGAGGAACTCCAGCTTTGGAGTTAGCACATACTGGGGGGAAACAAAACCAACAAATATACAAAAAATGGGGAAAAAAACCCACGCGACATAAACCAACCAAAACAGTCCAATTCTCTTTCCACTCTGCACCACACTGCCAGATACCAAACAAACCTACTGACCATAGTCTCTGCATGCAGCAAAATGACACCATCCCAGCAGAATGCCGCTTCTGCAGGATCCTGCCATGTCCTAATGAAGACAGTCTGCCAGAGAGCAAAGATTAGCCATGTCTGAGATCTCGACAGGTCAGTTCAATCAAATTCAAAGGCATGTTGGGCGGGTAATTCTGGATCAGACTACTGCTACCACTAATGTAAGCCACACTGCAATATTTTAGTGCCAAGGCTTTCATCTGGTGATAAAGCAATGTCTCAGGAATATAACACCAGGCCAGACAAAAAAACAAAAGTAAAAGTGTGTGCGTCATGCCTACACCCCCCCACACAGCATGTTGTAACAGTGAGTGCGTTCAAATTGGAGGTGAGGGCAGTTTTCATTTTTGTATCTGTTTAGCTAGAAGTTAAAATTGCCATTCTATTTTGAATATATAAATAACCAAGGAGTAACTTAAAACCTCAAACTCTTGAGTGCTGTTGGATGGAGACCAAGAAGCCTGAACACTCTATCCACACAGCTCTGATTAGCTGGTTCCATTTCTATGCTCAGAATGAGGCATGTTTCAAAATCATTTTAAATGGTTCTTTTGGTGCTGTGCTCTACCACAGGTTAACCATCTCAGATGTAAAGTGCCAGACTATGCTACAAACTTTGCTAAGAAGCAGTGGCTATGTGGTGTCTTGATCTGCCTGGTTGGCTTAGCCAAAGGCCTGGGAAAACCTATTTCCTCCAGTTAAAGGTGGGGTTAATCAAAACTGGGCCAAAGTTTGTTTGCAAGGTTTGTGAACCTTAACAGACCATTTCCTCAGCAGGCCATCCTGGTCTGAATTTTGAGTTCATAATGAAAACTGAAACCTGGCCAGTGTTTGGTGGTTTGGGATTTGACAGAGAGTATTTCACATAGCCCTAGTTATTGGCTAAGGAAATACAGCATGGCTCTGTCTAAAAAGAGAACTAAATCCCTGAAAACTGCATTGGTAAAACAGCAACAGTGTTATTAGAAATGTGCAATGGCAGCCTAAGTATTTTTGTGGTGTTTTTGCAAAAAGCCTGTGCTTCGGATAGACCTGACACCATTTCAACTGCACTGTCCTTTAATTGTGTAGCCCACAGCTCTCTCCACAACTACCTTAGGGTCTGGCTTCTGGCTGCTTAGGAAGATCTTCCATGAGATTAGGGTAACTGTGGTAGAAAAATCAGTACTTTGGGGAAAAAATATAAATCTTTGATAGATCTGCTAAAGCTTCAGGAAGGAAGTGAATTTTTAACATAACAGCTTATACACTTCTCTTATAGGTAGCCGTATGCAGTGTGCTTGTAAACAGTTCTCCTGAACTGAAATACAGCTTTTGCTCACCAACAGCAACAGGAAAAAAGCGCTTAAATCCTTGCATCCAACAGGAAATAGGACTCACAAACAAGTGAAATGTCAATTTGTTATAACGCGTAATACGCCCTGTACATGGCAGGACAATGGAGATCATTTTGTGGAAGTCAGTTATGGATATTGTGGGCTCAGCACTTTCCCAGCTGTTGTTTTATGCAGTTCTTCACAGAGATGGAGATGGCTGATGGGCATCATTAGTCTTGATCAGTTTGGATTCAGGCTGCTAGTTCTGTAGCTCTGATAAAGGAAAAGAATGCGCACATATTTCAGACTCTCATCTCTGTTATGTATTGCTTTGACTTTGGTTTCAGAAATCCATTGAAATGGATTCTTCCTCTCCTCCATCACTGTTTTAGGAGATGTACTGAAATTATATTGATCAAAAGACTGAAAAAACAAACCAAAAAAAAAAAAAAGCAGTTTAATCACTGTCAGCAAAAGAAGGATACTGGCTATGAGCTAGGTTGGCTAGTATAGTTCAGCACTAGTCTTTGGGCTCCACTGAGGTTAGGGACAAGCCACCAGGCAAAGATTTCTCCCTACATCCTTATGTTTACACATGCAAACAGAATCTCCCTGAAACAAGGATGAGATTTAAATGAGTAAATCTCTACGTGCTATGATGAAATATATCCCTTGAAAAAAAATCTGATTTCTATTTTGTGTTTGTCTCATAAAAGTTAAAAGAAGTGCAAATTTTAGCTGGGAGGGAACTTCCATAACCTAGTTGTAAATCTCCACAAGGAGTGCTTTGCAATTGAAACACTGACAAACTCTCAAGCAGAACAGTGCAAGTGGGTTCGCCAGTAACATCTCCTCCAAATTCAACTCCAGCTCAGTCAGCGTGTCTCACGCCAGCATTTAGAGTCCACAATGAACCAGTCAGTACAAAGAGGAAAACAGTCATTTCTGAATTACTGTCCCTTTTCAGAAAATAACCGCAAAGACAGGGTAATTTTGTTACTAGAATGTTGTGGTTCATATGTTCTAGCAAGAGACTGTCAAAGAGAAAGCAGCGTATTCCCTCTCGTATACGTAAAGAGGAGAAGGGATGGGCCAAGAAATGGGTCACAACAGTACTGCTGCGACAAGGAGAAAGCATTCTGTGCTGTGCTCAGAGACAAATAAATGTTTTTTAGAGTCTTCTTTGTCTATTTCATAAGAATACTTTGTCATTTTCCCCCCTCTAGGTCTGTTTCATTGCTACTTAAATCATATTTCTGCTTCTTAATTTCCCCCCCTTTTTATTATAAGACGAAGCTTAATGAATCTCACAAAATCAATCTTAATGACAGTTATATATCTATCTATCTAAATGTTAACAGATTTATCACATCAAGATGCCTTAATCACATTCTTCCTCCTGTGCTCTTTCCTGCCCATGGTGCTCTTAAGGCAGAGTGACATTTGTTTTATAATCCCACTGATGGAATTAATGACCACGCTTATTAATTAGGATTATTGGAATTTGCCATCTTTCTTTTTTGTAGTAGCACTCCTCCTCTGCTTGCCAATCATCATTATAACTACTGACTCCACCACATTTTGCTTTTTTTAATGAAATAAAGTGTTTGGCTTGGCCCTATGCCAAGAATAGGGTCATTCCCAAACTTGTAATAACATATCCTTAGCTGATGTTTCTTAGTAACATGTGTAAATAGGAAAAAACAGTCGCACTGTGGGGGTTAGCTTGGCCACATGTGACTACAGTGAAAGAACATGGGAAGAAAATCAGTGGTCTTACCACAACAACCATCCAGTTCAACAGCAAGCGCACAGATACAGAAGAGCAGACAGATGCAAAGTTAACCTCTTTCTATGCTCAGCAGCAAGGTAGAGCAGCGGATCTCTTCTATGCTAACAGCCAGCCCTGTAGCTTCTGGCAGTAGCAGAGATAAGGAGCTGAGCCTCAAAGTTGAGTCTAGCCAAAAACACAATGAACTCTACCAGAATATTTTTGCTCATATCTTCTGCTTATGCCTGGCAACACCAACTTGCTGTTCCAGCTAAAGATCAGCCCTGGCATCAGTGATGTTGCAGGTGGCCTAACACACTCTGGATAAAAGCAGAATATAAGTGTCACTATGAGAGATAGGCTAAAGCTGTGAAGTGTGATCCGGGGTTTGGATTTTGGATGAGTCAAGAAATTTGAGATCAAGGGTTTTGCTGACTGCTGCAGAAATGGGCTGCCCCTCAGCTTGGCTCAGACTTTGATGCTCCCAGCAATAGAAGTTCAGGAACTTTGGAACCAAGAGTATTCAAACTCACAGAATAAATTTGTCCCATGCTTTTCTGCAGAGTACAATTTTATAAAAATTGAAACTTGATATGGATAAACAACACAGAACAGCAAATACACTGAGCATTTGTGAAGTTATCCTAAATTTACTTTTCCTTTCAGAGGCCCCAGTGACCTCTATTATTCAAATTTCCACAGTTTGCTTCAGATTAAGTGGGTTTAAAGCAGTCATTCTGCAGTGGAAACAGTTGCAGCTGAAGAC